TTTTTCTGGCCACTAACGCCACCTCCGTAGTGAGTTGGCAGCCGGCTGGACTCTGCTGCGCATCCCAGAGACACCGGAGACCAAAAGGATGGAGGGGGAGGGGCCGGCCGTCAGAATGATGAACTCCCGATTCAACAGACACAACAGGAGCTGAGAGAGGTGACAGGAACAGCTCACATATCTGCCCTGGCCTTTCATTGAGAATTGAACTGTATAAAGTTTCCCTGAAATAGACAGTATAGGTCTCAAGGTGCTCGTTTATTTCACTTTGGTGCTATTTTGGGCATTTAAGAGCATGATTTGACCCAGTGGGGGTTGGCCTTGGTGGGGTAGCCTGCCACAGCTTCTCCGTTTTGGGGGAAAACCTGGCTAAAGTTACTGGGAAGTTACGAAAACATGTTTATTGCAGTGGCCTTTTACAAAGGCCAGCTGGGGCCTTAGTGCACAGGGACTCCTTATGGAGCACAGGCCTGAACACGAGGATCCAGAGGTTATTCTACACTTCGCTGTAATGGTTCCGTGAAAGAGATTCAATCAGTTTTCGTAAACGTCTGACTGGCCTGGAGACACTCTGCCTCTTGCTGGTTTATCCAAACATGTCACAGCATGTCAGAGGCAAAGTTGCAAAAACAAAGACAGATCGCAAAGCAAGCACTTTAACAAGTCCTGATGATGAGGAAAAGGGGTAGGTGGAGCAAAATGAAAGGCTCTTTATGGCATTCACTCAGATTTGGTTAAGATAATTAGCTTTCAAGTCAGTCATTACCTGCACCTAAAATAAATCCTAAACTGGGAGTATAATCTGATTAAGTAAGCAAGCAGCTCAGGATCTCTGGCTTTTATTCATCTTTCACATGGCAGAAGCTTTTCCATAACTTCATTAGGGAAAAAAGGAAATGAAAACCCTTTTGGTTGCTACTCTGAATTACTTAACCTCAGGTTGGCCAAACGTCCAACCAAGAGTTTCTGTCTTTGGATCCCTGCTATTGCTGCCAACACACAACCAGACGGTTCAGGTCCAGTTTCTTCATTCACAAACCTCCAAGTGCCTCTTAGTGGCATATTCGGTTTATTAAAACGCTCAAATCGGAGCCACTGCAACTTCCTAATTCACTCTATCTTTAGCACCTGATCTCAACTCTTCTTTGCTGGTTTCTGCTCGTCAAAGTTCAATCGTTTTATTTTTTCCTGCCGGGTTCCCTAAATCTCTGGGACCAGAGGGAGGAAAGAGAACAAAATAAGCAAGTAAAGGAAAGTTAATGTGGCAAGTTGAACTAAGGATCAGAGGCAGATAGTCACAACATGCTGCAGGGCTCTGGAGGTGTTTTCCTCACATGCTGCTGAACCAGAACAGCCGATGGATGAAAAAAACCCAAACACTTACAACCGGACTAGTAGTAGTAGTCCAAAAGCTCTGACGTATGGACCAGATCTACAGCAGCTCCACCTCTGAACCTAAAACACTTTAAAGATCAGCAGCTAGCATGTTTACAGAAGCTCCCAAAGCATCCTCGTCCTTTACCAATTTACCAGACTTCAATTTTGGGATTAATTTCCTGAAATGGGACAAAATACATTGTGAGGACCTTTGTGTAAAATGAAATAGAACTGTTATTTTTCACCTTTTTTAGCTAATCATATAATTGATGAATGAAATGATAGTATTTCCCATTTCTTGTTGCAACCTTATTTGTAAATTGTATTACTAATTCTATTTATGTCCATTTTATCTGTGAATGCAGTCATTCTCATTTTCTTAATTCATTTGCTATTGTGAGACACTTTGGTCAGTAGAGCTTGTTTTAATGTGCTACATAAAAGAGTCTAAATTTAATTTTATTTTTTTTTCTTATTGTGATCCTGACTTGACAGAGAGTCAGAGTGGAAAGAGTGCTATATAAATGCAGTCCATGAAACAATTATTGTTTATGCTGGTTAAAAATAAAATAAAATGGATCCCTGAAAGATGAATAAACACATGGTAAACTTTAAGAAAAGAAGTCACTAAAGCATTTCCATCTGGCACAGTTTGCCCATCTTAACTACTCCTTTTTGTATAATCTTTAACTATATCTCCAGATATATTCAGAAAGCAATCATTTGCATCAAATGTGGAGAGTTGTTTCTGGATGTAGGAAGACGGATGAGGTCCGTTTTCAGAGTTTATTTACAGTTCCTGAAGCAGTGTATGGTGGTTCTAGGGGCAAAACAATGGTTACAGCAGACCCTTCCCAGTCTATTATCAGGAGGAGACTCCATCAGTTCTGCTGCTTTCCATACAGTGAAATGTACCTCGTAATTACACGTTTATGCTCTGTGACCAACTTCTGCCATGCAACGTGTGAACTTACCCAAAAAAACCTAAGTATCCTTTTACATTAAACCTCACAATGGCCGGATTTAGATTCAGAGGTAATAATTCCGACACACCAAAGAAGAAGAAAAACCCATTGAAATAAAAAGCAGCTATGCCTCATCGCGGTCCTGACCACATTCATGGTGAAATGTAGTGCCCTATCTGCAACTTAAAAAGCTGTTAAAGGTCCACTCCACGCCCACTCTACTCTGTCATTTCAGTCAGGAGGTTACCACCGATGCCTACGGTACGGGACGCTGGGGCTGGCACCGGGATGGCCAGCAGGAGGAAAACGGCTTTTCCAAAAGTAACACTGGACCACCCAGACAAACATCAGGAAGAATCAGATCAATTCAGATACAATACAACTGTATTATGGTATAATTTTACCCATATTATCAATATAATATCATTTCAGCAGCATCACTGGTTGCATACACGTATATATATATATATACACAGATACACAGATAGATAGATAGATAGATAGATAGATAGATAGATAGATAGATAGATAGATAGATAGATAGATAGATAGATAGATAGAGGTTACAACAAAAACAGGACATGACATATCAGAGCGAATGAGTGAATGATCTGATGAAGGTGCATTAAATCTTAAATACATTGGAAAATTGAATTTTACTTCCTTAACTAAAGGTTTGAGGTGCTCAGCCACTCAAGGTTGATGTGCATATTATTTTCATGGATTAGTTTTCCATGCACACACACATCTCTTTGGATTGTATTCAGCCGGCCCAGCACAGGGTGAAGCTGGACAGTATCTTAAGACAAAACGCCACTCCTGCCTCCTAGTGTCTGAAAGCGCCATCATTCCCAACTCATGCCTGTTTTGTTTTTTTTAAAACAGGACAATATCGCTCACTACTCAACAAACTGACAGGCCCTGCCGTGGCCTTTAGAACCTACACACTAATCAGACTGCTAACGCATCCAATAAAGAGACATCCGAAACACATTCAAAACCTACACATTAAAGGACTTAAAGATTTGCAGCCCACATTAAAGGCCAGGTGGAGGTTTTTTTAGATTTAACCACAGATGACAGAAAATGACAGATTTGCAAATACAAAGGAGGCCAGTGCTGTCACACTCTCTCAGCTATCAGTGTTCCAGGAAAACGCCCTATAACCCGCCCGCCGTGTGGTCGATAAGTTGACATTTTTTAACTATCAAACTAAAACTGCGGCATTTGTGCAGCCGAGAAACAGAAAAGTCAAGATGAGAATTTATCAGTAATGATTAAAAAAGCACAAAAGGCCGATGACATGTAAAAAGCTGATGAAAGCTTTAGCTGATGTCTCACTGTCCACTGCTTCAACTACAGACCCCCCCCCCTACTGAAACAAATCCATATACAGTATCAGTGAGATCCTCATCCAGAGGGAGTCTGCAGCTCCACACAGACAGAGAGAACCAGATGGAGAAAGAGGAGACAGGGAGAGAAGGGAGGACCGTCCCTGGGACTGGCGTCCGGGGGACATAGCACCCATCATTAAATATGACATCAGAGCAGGGAGGGCCTCCATGCAACGTAGATCCTCCATGGTGCTGGAGGCCAGCTGAGTATAAATGCCTTAAGCCCGGAGCCCTGAAAGCAGCAGCTGCCATTCTGACAGGCAGACGGACTCAACCACTAAGGATATACGAGCACCACACCGGGACGGCAGCCTCCGAACTCCCCCTACTGTTTCTTTGGAGCGTAAACCTTTAAGGTAAGTGGCCTGCTTCCAGTCAAGTGCATGTGGGGAAACCCCCGCTGCAGGCCGGCTCTGGGTGTTGGGGAGTTGGGGGCAGTGGATCTTCTGCACAAGCTGAGGTTAGACTGGGATAGAAACTGTGCCTGTGACTCTGAAGACTAGATCAGTGTTTGGCCAGCAGCTTGTCTTCATTGTGAGCAGGTTCTAAACAAAACATCTTAATTCATAAAATTGAAGTTGGGCAACTTTGCTGCCGACTTTGGGGATTGGAACTGGAATAGTCTGAAGATATCTATCTATGTTTGTCTATAGAGTGGCTCAAAACAAAGATCTTCTACTACAATGTGATTCTTCTGTCTATCACCTGCTCTGGAATAATACCATAAACTTCTTCTCATTGTTTTTTTTTCTTTGTTTTTCTTTGAAGGTTTAGCTTCACAAGATGGACTTGAGGGTAACAAGCGTTCTTCTCGTCCTCCTGGCTTTGGCCCAGGCAACCCCCCACTATTCACCCAAAGTGGCCAAGACGCCCTACCCCGTCAAGAGCCACGGTGAGTAGCCTTTCCACAGCAATCTTTACACTTAGTTATCTTGGAGAGTCAGGGTGGGGACAGGTATTACAGTTAAAGCAGCGCTTACAAGTGTAATGTCACTATATAATAGTCAAATAAGCCGAGCTTTGCCTCTGAAATCACTGCAAGCTGTTCTGCATAACTGTGCAAACTCCACACTCCACTAGGTTCTTTTTAAAAACTCACAAATCAAATGACCAAATAGAACAGATAAGACGTGGCAGCAGACAACTGGTGATGTGCTGCTAATTGCTGCGTGTTCTTACCTTTTATTTAGAAGAGAAAATAGTCAAAAAAGGGACAAATGGTTCTGGGTATGTCCATACTGGTGTGCAGTTGCCTCACTTCTGCTGCCTAACTAAGCCATAAAACACCTAATCCACATGATGTAGGTGGTCTACAGGGGACCTAACATTGATTCAGACGTTAGAGGAAAGTTTGTGACCGGTTAGCTGTCAAACTAATCATAAAATTAAAAACTCAGTAACCCCAACAGCCAGCATGGAGCCTGGACACAGCACACTTTTTATACCTGCAGAAAACGTGGTAATTAACAGAAATTTAACATCTCCAGCGTTATCGCCACCATCAGCAGCGCTCTGACCATTAGCTTAATATCCCCTGACTCCGCAGTAAATGAAGGCTGTCGCGCTCCATCATTAGGGGCCATCAGGCCGGTCCACTGGCCGGCTGTGTGTGTGTGTGTGTGTGTGACGGTGAGGCGGGGCACCGCTGTAAAGGAGCTCCTGTGCAGTGGATAAATAGGTTACCATAGTTACAGAAGTTACACCAGATACAATAACACAAATGACAAAAAGGTGCTCATGAGGTTAATGCACATTAGTGTAGAAACATTTCAGTTCACACTCCAAATAGAAAAAGAGTGATATTTTAAATCAGGAGTGAGGAGTAACTTGTTTCCTTTTTTGTATTATTCGATATGAACTCCTTCTGATGTTTGTATGCGTTTTCTATGCCCATTTCTATTTAGATTGCAGAAATATAAACAATGGCTGGTCAAATCTGTCAAATATCCAAAACAGATGCTAGCACCACGTTGCAGGCACACCCTCACCGACTGCCTTGCGGTTCCAAAATCACTCCACACAATTAGAGAGGAATGAAGAAAACAGAAGCTGCAGAGAAAAGCTCTCACAAGTTCAAACAGTGAATCTCATAAACAAACCACGCTTATTTACTGGAGCTGCACTCCGTGAGGCTCGGTTTTTCCACTGTAAAACTAAATGAAGCCCAATCTGATTCAGACCGAGGGTTATTTACTCAGGCATCTTAACAGTGCATGAGGCGGGGCTCAACAGTCCACCGACACGAAGCCCAGCTCCAGTCAGCCACTGTGGACAGAGCTGTCACCTTCACTTTGCGGCGGGA